AGACATATACTTAACGCAGGAAGAACTGCGCTCCTCAGCCAGGTGTGGGAGTGCCAGAGCAGGCTGACCCCAGCACAGAGCCTTGGGATCAGGGGAGGCTGGAGCTCAAACAGGAGCACACAGAGCCAAGCTTTGCAAGGAAGCCCAGTTCTGAGTTATGCTTGAATGGAAAAAAAAAAGGAAAAAAAAAAAAAAAAGAAAATTTTTCTTTCTAAAGGAGTATGGTCAAGAACACAAGCTTGATATTTTTGGGGGAAAAAAAAAAGTTAATTTGGAGAATGATGGAGAAGGGCAGTAATGAAAGAAAAACCAGAGCAATTAAAGCGGCAAATGGCAAAGTAAGATAGAGGCTACAGTCACCCTGGAGTGAGATGGGAAGAGTTTGCTCAGCACGAGGTGCACCTTCCAGCTGCCCATCCATTCCTAAATTCATAGCTCATACTTTCAGACCGTTTTTCTCCTCTAAATGCTGATGTTGGAGACCCTGGGCATCCCTTGGCCCATCGAGTAGCTCAGTTCCATCAGGTCACCACATCTCAACCGAATTCAAAGCACATGAGCTCTTAAGGGGCAAGTTTGGGGAAGAAGAGAGGTCACTTCTGCTGTGCTTCATGGTTTAATTCAGCTGCTGCATTAATTCACTTCTTTTGGCTCCAAAGATCACTGCAGGTCTAGGAATTCTTATTTGTTGGTTTATTTTGTGTGACAAACGTCTCCAGAATAAATGTTATGTTGAAGCTTTTGTTATCAGTGATCAGCTGTTATCAGCTGAAAGGGAACAGCAGGACTTCGTCCCACCTGCAGGTACAGGCAGTCAGCAATAGTGATGAAACTCTTTTCAAAGTGCCTTTTTGGAGCTGCTTGAACTATGAGGACTGCAGATATCGTTGTGATTATCTGCTCTGGCTACCAGGTATAATCTGAGCCCTGATTTTCTCCTGCTCGAATCACAGCAAGCAACCAAGCATGATGTAACATCTGCTAATGATGGAGATTCCCACAGTGCCCAAGTGAATTCTTGCAGTGGTTCATTACCTTTGCTGGTATGCCAGTAATACTGTGCCACATTACTACTTCCAGTTCACCTAGCTTCAGCTTCTGGACATCAGATTGCAGTAAGACTCTGCTGTGTTGGAGAGTCTTTGGTGGAAAAACAGATGTGGTCCGTATACCCCACAGCCTGCTTTTTGGCTAGCAGATTAGATTGAGCTTTCAAGGCCTCTCACTGCAAGGTCAGTTCTCTTTATTACCATCTTCATGGCTCTTCTCCCATTCTCTCAATGTCCTGCTGAGCACCGCAGCCAGCTGCTGGCTGGCACAGGCACCCAAAGGCAGGGGCATGTAGTTTCATCTGAGTTTCGTCTGAACATCTGATTTCCCCCCAGCTCTTCCAGGCGTGCTGAGCCTTTGGGGCACCTTCACATGTGAGGAGGGTGCAGTCCCAACTCTACCAAATCACCCAGAGTTTCACAACCACCACTTCTCAGGACAGAGCATCCTGCCTTGTATGCGTGACCCATGATCTGCGTTCTTGTTCCAAGATGTGTGACTATATTTGGCGATATTGACAACCTGCTCGTGCCCAGTTTAACCAGCAACCCAGGCCATTCTGCCTCAGTGATCTGGCTTCTTCTCTATTTGCCAGTCTCACAATCTCTGTGTCATCAACAAACTTTACTACAGATGATTTAATATTTGTTCAGATCATTGATAAAAACATTGAATAGCATCGGGCCAAGAACCGACCCCTGGGGAACTCCACTAAATCCACCCCTGCTGGGTGAGGAGTTCCCATTTGCAATTGCCTCTGAGACACGTTACCCCGCCAGCTTTTAATCTATTTAATATGTGCCATGTTGATTGTGTATTGTTCTAGTTTCTTAATCAAAATGTCATACAGTACCAAGGCAATTGCCTTGCAGAAGTCTAAGTCTATTACACCACCAATATTATTTTTATCAATCAAACTTGTAATTTCACAAAAAAGATGAGTCTTTGTCTGACAAGTCCTGCTCTCCATAAGTCTGTGTGAATTAGCATTCGCTGTATTTGTTCAGCTGAAATCCGCACCCGCCGCGCGCTGTGGCAGCCGTCAGAGCTGCCTGCCCAGAGCTGCCGCCCGCTGACCGGCCTGCCAGGGTCTGGCTCAGCCAAAAACTCCACAAACGTTGGCAAACGTCGCCTTCCTCTATTGCTGTTGACTGTTCTAGTGCCTCCATCCAGAGACAGACTAACACAAACAACTTCAGAAGAGCTATATTTATTCCTTTTATATTGAGAAATTGCTTCTCATCAGCTTCAGGTTTGCACTGCGTACATTGTCTTCAGCTCTTGGCTTTCCTTATCAGTTTTCTACAGTTTCTCACTTCTCATTCATTATTATCAGTTTCCCCTTTCTTAAGTTATATATGGTTTTCTTATTTTTCACAGTTGTCTTCACTTCTTTCACAAGCCAGAGTCTTTTTTTTAACCAGTGTTGCCTTCTTTCTCAATTGTGGGATTGTGGTTTTGGGGCAACACGTAAAATGTTTTTCAACAATTCCCACTTAGCATTCACATTTTTCTGATTAAATACTTCTCCCAATTGATTCACTTCATAATTGTTTTCAGCTCTGTGAAACCGAATCTTTTTAGCATTAAGTGGATATATTTTCAGAACAGAGCTTCACTTAAAATACTCACTTTACAGCCATTCTGCTTCTCAGTTAAATAAAATAAAACACTGACTCTTAGAGACATTTGGCATGCATTTCAGGGTCACAGAACTGGGAAATGAGAATTGTTCCTTAGAAAAGATGTTTTCATGAAAAGTTTGTTGTTGTTGTTGTTGCTGTTTTGTCAAAGTGTGTATTAATTTGGATAAAGCGGGGCTTGCCTAAAGTCCAGAGCTGTGAAGCATCGTCTCTCTTTTGGCAATTGAAGTTTCAGACATTTAGTCCAAAACTGTGAAGTTCCTGGTGACTGGAAAAAGAGAAACATCAGCCCTATTTTTAAGAAAGGGAGAAAGGAAAACCCAGGGAACTACAGGCCAGCGAGCCTGAGCTCTGTGCCTGGGCAGATGATGGAGCAGATCCTCCTGGAAGCTGTGTTAAGGCACATCCAGCAGCAAGGAGTGATTGGAGACCGCCAGCGTGGCTGCGCCAAGGGCAGATGGTGGCTGAGCGATGTGGCGGCCTTTGATGGTGGAGGGACGGCGTTGGTGGACGGGGGAAGGGCAGCGCATGTCATTGCGTGGATTGTGCAAGGCCTTGGGCATGGTCCCTCGCCACATCCTGCTCTCTAACGTGGAGAGGAGTGGATTTGAAGGCTGGGCTGTTGGATGGACTGGGAGTTGTCTTGGTGGCAGCCAAGGGCTGTGATCCATGGCTCTGTGTCAGGGTGCTGAAGCCAGTGTCAGGGGCTCGGTAAGGGCAAGCGCAGGGTGCTGCCCTTGGGTGGGGGCAATGCCAGGTATTGATAGAGACCGGGGGAAGATGTGCTTGAGAGCAGCCCTGCGCAGAAGGACTTGGGGTCCTGGTGGGCGAGAAGCTGGCCATGAGGCAGCAGTGAGCGCCTGCAGCCCGGAAGGCAGCTGTGTTGTGGGCTGCATGAAAAAGGGGCGGCCAGCAGGAGAGGGAGGTGATCGTCCCCCTCTGCTGGGCTCCTGTGAGGCCCCATCTGCAGCGCTGCGTCCAGGCCTGGGGCCCCCAGCACAGGAAGGACGTGGAGCTCTGGCAGCGGGTCCAGAGGAGGCACTGAGATGAGCAGAGGGCTGGAGCAGCTCTGTGTGAGGCAAGGCTGAGGGAACTGGGCCTGTTGAGCTTGGGGAAGAGAAGGCTGCGGGGAGACCTCACTGTGGCCTTCCAGTGCTTGAAGGGAGGGTAGAAACAGGAGGGGGAACGGCTGTTTGTGAGGGTGGGTGGTGATGGGACAAGGGGAATGGTTTTAAAGTGAGACAGGGGAGGTTTAGGTTGGATATGAGGAGGAAGTTTTCATCCACAGGGTGATGAGGCACTGGCACAGGTTGCCCAAGGAGGCTGTGGATGCCCCATCCCTGGCGGCATTCAAGGCCAGGCTGGATGTGGCTCTGGGCAGCCTGGGCTGCTGGTTGGTGACCTGCACGCAGCAGGGGGTTGGAACCAGATGATGCCTGTTGTCCTTTTCAACCCAGGCCACTCATTCTGGGCACCTCATCTGCTCACTCTGCACTCTTCTTCAGGGGATGGCAATGGCAGGGTGTTACCAGCCCACAGCTGGGCAGCCGGGATGGGGCACTGTCAGCAGTGATGGTAATGTAGACCACCAGTGAGGAGGAGCTGCACTTCTTGTCTTGCTGCAACCGCAGCTGTGCCCCAGTGTGTTGCCCAGTGCCTCTGGGCTCCGTCCTCTCTGCACCTCCCTGCAGGGACTGGTGGCCATGCCTGGGATCCCCCATGGCCTGCTCTCCTGCAGGCTGAGCCACCCCAGCTCTCCAAGAATCCCACCCCAACTGTTTACCATCCCTACATTCCCAGTGGTGCTGACTGAGGAGGAGGAGGATTTTGGAGAGGCCATTGGAGGGGAGGGATGGGGCTGCTGGGAGCAGCCCTGGCACACGGCCCTGTGTGCTGCCCTGTCCTGCCCTGCAGGTCGGCACAGGGCTCTGGGGGAAGGTTGGTGCTGCATAAACAACTGCAGGTCGTCATAGCAAAGTGAATATGACACGTTGAATAATTTAAATAATTTAATGTAATTGAACATAAAATAACATAAAATAACATAACATAATCTGATGGAATCCCACACTGTCGCCGTCCAAGGTGTTGTTGGTGGACAGCCCAGGTTTGGAGGGGTTGGGCTGGGGCCGGTGCCGGTGCCCCTGGAGCACTGCCGCTGCTCTGTGCGAGGGCCGGCGAGGAGCCCGGGGCTACAGGTAGCCTGATTTGTTGGCTGTGTCTCCTGCTGTGGCCGTGTCTCCTGCTGCACCACGTGGGCCGGTTTCTGCCGATGCTCCCGTGTTGGCTGAGCCCACCCAGCTTCGCCTAGCGCGAGCGCTTTTGTTCTGGAGCATCCTGGCTCTGCGGCAGCTTCCTCTTGGTGGCTCGGATGCTGCCAGCGCTCTGCTGGTGCCCGCTGGGGGTGCAGGCAGGGGCTGGGCACTCGGCCGCGTCCTCATCCGTGCCCGGGATGTCGTCCGGGACCTCTTTGGGTGCCAGTTCTGGAAGAGGAAGAAAATCGCCACAGGGTTAAGGCCAGCTTTCCCACAGCAAATGGGTGCAAACGCTCCCCCGCCAGCTCTGCTGCCCCCAAACTCACCGCTGTTCATCCAAGCCAGGAGGTCACCGATGTCGGTGATGTCCTCCGGGATGTCTGCGCTGGTTGTCGCTGCTGGAAAGCAAGAAAATGCGCCGTGAGGCAATGCCATCTTTCCCACAGCCACCCGGTGCGGCCAGCCTGCCGCCCGCCCTGCAGCCCCCAGACTCACCACCTGATTCCAGCGCTGCGATGCTGCAGCTGAGCGGAGCCGCGTTGGGATGGGGGCACACGCCGATGGGTGCTGGCTGCCCCTGGTCCTCCAGCTCCTCGGGCTGCTCTAAGATGGTGGGCAGGGTGCCGGGCACGAGGCGCACCCGCTGCTGCACCGGAGGTCCTTGGAGGACAGTGGAGGGGCCGGGCTGGCTGGCAGCCTGCAGCGGGCAGCTGCCTGCGGGCTGCGGGGGCTGCCCACACTGCTGGGGCTGCATCGTCCCTGCCACCGGGGGATGATCCCAGTAGTGGGCAGGGGCATTGGGGGGAGGCATACCCGGCTTCATGCCCCCGGGTAGGAGCAAGAGCAGGGGTAACTGCTGCCATCCAGGTGGGAGATGTTCCAAAACAGTGAGCAGCCCCTCGAGAGTGAGCTGAACCACAATGGGAGGCACCCCCTGAGGTGGGAGCTGACCCACGGTTGGGGGCTTCCCCCCACGTGGCCGCTTGCCCACAGCTGGGGCCTTCCTCCCACGTGGTTGCTTACCCACAGTTGGGGGATTCCCCGCAGGTGGGAGCTGACCCACGACTTGGGGCATCACCCCAGCAGGCAGCTGACCCACAACTTGAGGGACCGCCCCAGGTGGGAGCTGCACCACTGTTGTGGGCATCCCCCCAGCGGGCAGCTGACCCACAACTTGGGTTGTCACCCCAGATGGGAGCTGACCCACAACTTGGGATGTCACCCCAGCGGGCAGCTGACCCACAACTTGGGGCAGCACCCCAGATGGGAGCTGACCCACAGCTTGGGTTGTCACCCCAGGTGGGAGCTGACCCACCACTTGGGTTGTCACCCCAGGTGGGAGCTGACCCACGACTTGGGGCATCACCCCAGCGGGCAGCTGACCCACAACTTGCGGGACCCCCCCAGGTGGGAGCTGAACCACTGTTGTGGGCATCCCCCCAGCGGGCAGCTGACCCACAACTTGGGTTGTCACCCCAGATGGGAGCTGACCCACAACTTGGGATGTCACCCCAGCGGGCAGCTGACCCACCACTTGGGGCAGCACCTCAGTGGGCAGCTGACCCACAACTTGGGGCAGCACCCCAGCGGGCAGCTGACCCACAACCTGGGGGACCCCCCCAAGTGGGATCTGACCCACAGCTTGGGGCATCACCCCAGGTGGCAGCTGAACCACTTGGGAGACCCCCCCAGCTGGGAGCTGCACTCCCACAGCTTGGGGCATCCCCCCAGGTGGGAGCTGCACTCCCTGTCCCTGGACACCTGATGCCCCAGGCCAGACAGAAGCCTGAGGCACCACGTAGGTGACACTGGGGACAGAGAGGATTTGGGTGGACACTGGCACTGCTCCGCTGCTGTTGGTCTGCATTGCAGCAGTGGCCAGTGGACGCACAATGGATCCAGGGAGAATCGCGTCGGGTGTCGGAAGCACCGTCGGCATCCGTGGAGAAATTCTCTCTGTGGAGAAATGCCCAGATGGGCGCTGGGTGAGATCTGGGGCACTGGCATCCCCTGGAGGGCCGCCGTGCCAGGAGCAGAGGGAGCCTGCTGCCTTACCTGCCAAGGTAGCTCGAGAGTGGCAGTGGGGGGTTCCGTGACCGCTGGGGTCAGCCCCTCTCCGCTGAGCTCACAGTGCGCCTCTGTGACACGGTCCCGTGGTGACACAGGCATTGCTCTGTGCCTGCCCCGTCACCACCGCTTGCTGAGATTTGAGTTAGATGTGGGGTGGGATTCCGTCCCACTGTGGATGCCCCATCCCTGCCGGCATTCAAGGCCAGGCTGGATGTTGCTCTGGGCAGCCTGGTCTGCTGATTGGTGTCCCTGCACACAGCAGGGGCTGGAACTGATGAGCATTGTGCTCCTTTGCAATCCAGGCCATTCTGTGATTCTATGAAATCTTTTAAAAGTTCTCCACATTCCCCTAACATCTTTCTTTAATCACTTTGAAGTTGTTCAGGTTTAACTGAGAATCCAACTTCATTTTTTTAAAAAATTATTTTATTTTATTTTATTTTATTTTATTTTATTTTATTTTATTTTATTTTATTTTATTTTGTTTTGTTTTATTTTATTCTATTTCATTTCATTTCATTTCATTTTCTTTTCTAATGGGAAATGAACACTGCATATTGAAATAATGAATTTGGTGTCCAGAATACCACGTTTCATTGACAAAACTTTTGAACGAGCATTTGTCAGTCATTCTGAGGATGCCTATGGTGACAATGTCCCTGCTGAGGTGCTCAGCTCATAGAATCGTGGCAGGCAGATGGCCGTAGATCACAGAATCATAGGGTGCTGGAATCATAGAACGTTTTGGGTTGGAACAAAGCTCAACTTCCACGGCCCCCACTGCAGTCAGGGTTCCCGATCGGTGGATCACACAGTATGTCATGGTGCCCAGGGCCCCATCCAAGCTCCCCTTGAACACCTCCAGGTTTGGAGCATCCACAGCCTCTCTGGGCAGGCTGCTCCAGCACCTCACCTCTCTCTCTGTTAGAAGTTTCCCACGACATCTGATCCAGATCTCTCTTAAGTTTAAAGCCATTCCCCCTTGTCCTATCACTTCTTACCAGTGTAAAAAAATGATTTCCCTCGTGTTAATAAACTCCCTTGAAATACTGGAAGGCCACAGTGAGGTCTTCCACCAGCCTTCCCTTCTCAAGACTGAACAAGCCCAGTTCCTTCAAACCTGTCTTCATAGGACAGGTGCTCCAGCCCTCTGAGCATCCTCGTGGCCCTCCTCTGAACCCTCTCCAAAAGCTCACTATCTTTTCTGTGCTGGGGTCCCAGACCTGGACGCAGTACTCCAGCTGGGGCCTCAGGAGGGCAGAGTAGAGAGGGACAATCCCCTCCCTTGTCCTGCTGTCCAGCCCTCTTCTGATGCAGCCCACAGTAGCCCCTGACCTTCCAGGCTGCAGGTGCACGCTGCTGGCCCATGTTAAGCTTTTCATCTACCAGGACCCCCAAGTCCTTCTCAGCGGGTCTGCTCTCAAGAAGTGCTTCCCCAGTCTGTTTACTGCAATTACCACGACTCAAGAGCAGAACCTTGCACTTTGCCTTGTTGAACATTAGGTTCACAAGGGCCCACATTTTGAGTTTATCAAGTCCCTCTGGATGGCATCCCTTCCTTCTGCCATATCTAGTGCATCACTCAGCTCAGGGAGCAGAAGAGTGTCTGGGTCATGGCGAGTCACCGATGCGTCCTGTGGAATTATCTGCAAATGGGCGTCCATCCTCAATCTCTTGCTTTTTACTGAAACGTGTGCAGGGCTCAGACTGTGGTCTGTGGACTCTCATCTTCTCTTAATTATGGTGCTGGGGATAACTCTACATAAATTGCAGCTGGCCATTCAGACTGTAGAACTGGGTCTCTCTGCACAGCTCTACAGTCTGAGGTCATGCCCACTACTAGGGTACCAGCCAGGTAATGAGGTAATCAACAGGTAATGAGGTTTCAACACAGTCTCTATCTCTGTACCTCCCCATCAAGGCTGTTGGGTTGTATGGAGCCTTGACAAACATGGTGCTTTCCTTCATCCCTCCTCTGACTTAGTACCCAGGGTGTTCTGAGCTCTGTCTTGCAGCCTCTGCTCTTCCCAGAAATGGCACACTGCCTCTGGAGGTACAGTTACAGGAGCTGATGTATCTCATTCTTATGAGTCAATTTTCATTCACGCCTTGACTTTCTGCAGAGCCATTTATTGGCTTTCATAGCAGAAGGAATCATCTACTCTGACATCTGCACAGCAGGCCAGGGACTTTCATTTGCTGATTGCTGCATCCCTCTGTAAATTCCAGTCAAGAAAAAACATTTATTTTACAGCGAGATACCCAATCTTGAATTAAAGCCTTTCAGCTGAAAGCAAATCTTCTGCATCCTAGGCAAGTTGGTCCAATGGACCAATAGTGCTCAGTGTTAAAAGTGCATTGCATATTTCTGCACAGATCCTGTTTTTGCCAAGAGCTCTCTGCCAGAGAGGTCTGCCTCCCACACTGGTGCTGCAGGATGACTGGAGCCACTGCTGCCTGCCTGCAGAAAAGAAAGCCCGTCATTCCCAGGAGAGCTTCTGGTTTTCTCCAGTCCTCTTGAGCTCCATTAGCACTCCCAGAGCTCAAGGCAGCCCGGGCAGGTTTCCCTTCCTGCCCCTATCCATCCCTTGCTCAGCTTTCTCCCTTGTGAAGACATACAAGACCTGATCGTGCTCTTAATGGCAGTATTCCTTCCATGGGATGTTTCCTCATGATTTTCCTTCCCCGTCCCTACCTAGGAGTGTTTATTGACCTGTCCACGATGGACATTGCTGTCTCAGTCCCTCCACCAAATGTTGTTGCATTCTGTGGTTGGCCCCTGGGACATTCAGCCATGGGACTCTCAGCCTGCTGGCCTTTCACATTCACCAGTTCCTCCATGCCACCAGAACTCCTCATCTGGCCGTGCTGAGGGTTATAGAGTGGGGCAGCATGAAAGCAAAGGCAGAGCTGGAGGGATGTGGCTGCACCCCAAACTCAGGAGCCTCTTGGCTGACCCCAAGAAGGCAGTGCCCGTAGGCCAGCAGAGCTCCCACTGTAACATCCAGGTCTACTCACGCTCTCCCCCCTCTCCCTGCAGCCCTGGGTCACGTAACGTGCTTGGAGAAGGCCAGACAGACTCTCTGGCAGACTCTCTGGCATTGCTTTTTCAAGTCTGATTAATGGGTCCAGCTCTCCTCCAGATTGAACTCAAGAAAATACCATTATCTCCCGCGCAGTGACTCAGATATTGTATTGCGACATCTTGTTGGTAATGTCAGGTCGCAGGCAACGATATTAAAAATGAGTGTTTTACCCTGGACAGGGCATTAGCTATGAAATTAAATCTGTATTTATTGCCTTTAGCCATGAGTCTCTGGGCTCTTCCAGAATAAATGTTTTTAGTTCCGTACGGGAAGATTCTGGCATTTATAGGCCAGACATTTAGGAGTGGGGCGCATACTGTATGCACACCCACACGATGCCCTGGGCCGTGTGTTCCTGTGCTGCTGGTGTCATGGCAGGGATGGCAAACTCACACTTGGCTGTGCTGAGTCCAGCTGAAGCATCTCTGTGTCCCGCTGAAGTCCATCTCTGGCTGAGTGCAGAAATTATATTTTAAATGTAATCATAAACTTAAAAAAAAATGCAATATATGATCACACTATAAATATATTGTAAATTTATAAATGTGACCTGTGGATATTTGCCTGAGTGCTCTTAGCCATAGCCAGGGTGAGCACTGTGCGGGCGGAGGGGGAATCCATAGCCGCTAACAGAGCACCATGTGCTGCTGCTGCCATGCATGGGGCGAAGCTGGGGCTGGCCCCAGTAGGAAAGCCAACGTGTGGCAGTGTGACAGTGTGCCTGGTAGGAGAGGCTGCCTACCCCGAGGCCCCAGGGTTTGGTCATCAGCCACCTCCATGGCTCCTCACAGCAGGCACTGAACAAGAGGGTTTCACTGAAATGAGTGTTTTACACAGGGAAAAATCTGTTTTGGAAAAATAATTGTTACCATCATCATTTCACTGAATGTATCATAACCAAAACCAGGTGGCTTTGTTTGAATGCAAGTGGTTTATCAGTGGTGTTTTTCCAATTAAAGACCAAGAAAGATACACCTTTAAAAAAGCGATGAGAAGTGATGCTGTTTGATTTGTTCAGTCTGAAATTCCTGATGTGCAGTTTCTGGGTTTTATTATTTATGCTTGGGTCTTTTCTTGTTGGTTTTTCTTTTGCAATTACTTGGACAGGCCCTTAGATCAGGTGCAGCTTCTGTTCTAGACGGGCTTCTGGCAATGCCAGGCTATCTTTCAGCATTGCTTGGGTTGTGTCTCCTGTAAGGTGGGAATC